TATATTTAGCGTACATGTATGTAATGATTGTAAGGTGTACATGTCCAGCTGGCAGGTGTCATCTGACCTTGACCTCATTTTCATGGTTCAGTGGTACTAGTTTAGTTTTTGTGTTTTGGTCTGTTTTTCTAATACTGTATGCAGTAGGTCAACTATATTTGGTGTATGGAAATATTTTACAATGTACATATCAGTCTGGCAATCAGTCTGGCAGGTATTATTTGACCTTGACCTAATTTTCACGGTTCATTGCTCAATGTTAAGCTTTTGTGTTTTGGTCTGTTTCTCTTAAACTTTAAGCAATATGTCAACTATATTTGGTGTAAGGAATGATTGTAAGGTGTATGCATGTATGTATGTCTGGTAGGTATCATCTGACCTTGACTTCATTTTCATGGTTCATTGGTCCATATGGAATTTCCATGGTTTGGTCTGTTTGTTTTATACTACAAGCAATAGGTCATCTATATTCTGTGTATGGAATGATTGTATTAAAGGTGTACATGTATTTCCCCCTTGGTTTATCTGACCTTGACCTCGTTTTCTTGGATCATAAATGTTAATGTGATACTTGTAGTAAAACTTTATAAGTAGGACTATCAACATAAAATCAATGGTCAGTATAGTAGGCGAGACATTTCAGCGTGTGCACTCTTGTTTCAACTTATAAGTCTACAGATATCTAAATAAAAAATTAAGGTATATACATTAGGTAAAAATAAAATCAAACAAAAGACGGTGTTCATGTGACCCCAACCTCATTTTACCCATCAGTGATTAAGGTTATTTTTTTGTGCAAATTAATATATATTGTGGTTAATTCCATTTCTCAGATTCTACACAATGTATATAAAGCAGAAGGTCAAAGTTTACATATGAACAAGAAGAGATACTATACATGAAACGTTTATATATATGTTAATGATGATGGATAGCTGCTTACAGTCCAGTGGCAAATTAATATGCATATTCAGGACAAGAATATGTTTCTGTGATGTGAATAATAACCCTGCTTTGTTATAGACCGACAGCAACTAAAATAGCAAAAAATAACTAAATGACATCTAGAATGAAACCTACATGTATATATAAGGCTTCAATAGAAGGAAAGGCAATTGTCTATGCAATATGTCAAGCTCTACTCTTTAATGTGTCTATAAAAGAAGTGAATTAATTCAGCAGAAATATCTTGTTCATTGTGTCTGTGATAATCATTCATGTACATGTACATCACATCACTGCATGTACAAAAATGTACCACATCTATTTTATATAGATCTGTCATATGCATTTAATACACAATTCTGAAAATAAAAAAAATAAAAACTATAGGCCATGCAACATGTACTACAAGTATACAACAGGGTTTATACTTGGTACAGGCACATGAAATGTGATTGAATTTAATGAAATAGTTTTTGTGTCACCTGAGACCATTGTTGCAAAATGTGACACTTAGGGATTACAATCAGCATAATTGTGCAGCAGCATAAACTATTTGAATAAAGTTTGATATTTCAGAAGATAGATGACCTGGATGTTTTATACCTTGTACACAGATACATTTTTGTGTACCTTATATGTGTAGTCACTAAGTTTCTGTCCAACACATGTCCATTGTCCTTGACCTAATTTTTATGGTTCAGTGACTGCTTGATTAAAAATTATGCTTTTTTTTCTCATTTGAAATTTTCACTTTACAAATGTATTATCTCAGATTCTATAAGCAATAGGTCAACTATATTTGGTGTATAGAATAATTGTTAGATGTACATGTGCATTTTGGACTAGCAGTTTTTATCAAACCTTGACCTCTTTTTCATGGTTCATTCTTTAGTTGTTGTGGTTAAGTCTATTTCTCAAACTAGCAATAAGGCCTCTACATTTGGTGTATGGAATGATTTTAAGGTGAACATGTCCAACACAGGCATTTTTTTCTGACCTTGACCTTTTTCATGATTTATTATTTGTGATTTTGGTCTATTTTGCAGACACTTTGAAGCAATAGGGCCACTATATTCTGTGTATGACTTCTGCAGCCCTTCTATGTCAAGTATATATTGATCTTAAAAAATGACAGGTTATTGATAATTTAGTTTATTGCTTTAATTTCAAATTTAAAAATTTGATTAAAAGGTAAAAAAAGCTAGAATTTTCATTTTGGACTAAGGGAGCTACCATTTGATTTTTATGGGGGGGTGGGGGCTAGGATGAAAAATTTTGTCCTGCATTTTTTTTAGTTGTAATATCTGTCCTGCCTTTTTATTTTTCACTCTATTCGGTCCTGCCTTTTTTTTTAAGTTTATCCTGATTTTTTTTTTACCTAAATTGTCATCCTGAGGCCATAAAAAAGAATATGTTTGTTTGCCCTAACCCTATCTACCCATATAATAGCTGCCTACTCAAAATCTTTTATTGTCCTGATGTGAAAAAGTTTTTTTTTTAATCAGATAGGCATGAAGACTAAAAATCATCTGACGCTTCAATTACTCTTTAGAGAAAAAAAAGAAAATGCCTACCTACCTACCCACTGTCTCTACCTTTGGGTAGGGTTTGGGCAAACCAAAATATTTTTAAGTGTGGCTTGACTTTTTTTTTGCAAGTGTCTCATCCTGCCTTTTTTTTACTCAAAACTCCTGTCCTGCCTATTTTTTTTCAAATTTCATCCTAGCCCCCCCCCCCCCCCCCCCCTAAAAATCAAATGGTAGCTCCCTATATAACTTTTTTTCAAATTAACTTGGATTTTAATAAAACTCTACAGCTATCTCAATCATATATTAATCTTACAAAATGCAAGGTTATTTGGAAGTCAGGTTTATTGGTAACTGTAAATGTAAGGATTTATTTAAAAGGTAAAAAAGCAAGAATTTTCAGTTCGAGCTAAATTCGCAGCTATCTAAATCATATATTGATATTACAAAATGCCTGGTTATTAGTCCCCTACCGTCAAAGTCGAAGGGGACTTTAGGTTTGCACTCCGTCCGTCTGTCTGTCCATCCGTCAGTCTGGCAAATCAGTTTTCCACACTTTTTTTCTTCGTGCTTGAAGATATTGATTTGGTTTTTGGTGTATTGTTTTATCATGACAAGTTACAGATCAAGTTCGAATTTTATTTATCAATTATTATGTCAATGATAGACTAGGATTGGTTTTTTGTATATATGTATCTGCTACAGCATGGGAATTGTATAGGAAATACACATGTATTTAAATATATAGCCTACTACCTAAGATTTTTTTCTTACTAGATACAAAATAAAAGAGCCCACCCACCCTGACAGTTCACAAAAATTCGTACAGTAAGGCACCTCTCTAGTAGACTCGACCAACTGAGCTAAAAAAAACTTCACCAGAGCAGCTAATAGAGGACAGTTTTTTTTTCTTGTATGCAAGCCGAGGGGGTGCTTGTGGCGCTAAACATATATATGTATGGTTTATCAATGCTTAGACTTTTTACATGTCCCATTCAAACTATGCATAGTTTGCACCCCCTTATCAAAATCCTTGATCCACGTCTGGCAGAGGGAAGCAGTCAGGGGCGGTGCTATAGTGCTATAGTGTACAGTTTAACAGTGTTTACTGTACTCTTTAATTTCCACGATTACGAACCGACCTCAAGTCATAAAGCATATGAGGCACATCTGAAAACATTGACAAACGTCACATATTTCAAATATTCATGGCTATAGTTACAATATGACGACGAAAGAGATTTAAAAACTATTTCCAAACGATTAACAATCGAAGCGATAAATTTTCAGTCCCATTGTTTTTATTTTTGGATACCCTCGGGACCTTTCAATGAACCTCATTCAAGTAAATATGTTCCGCGTGCGCTGTTCAGATTGGATAACTAGAATTCTGATTGGTTGAAAAAGTCACATGCAAAATCCTTCAGAAGTGAAACCTTATACGGGTAGTTGTTAGATCTTCGTATGTAGTATAACGTAGTATAACGAAATCCGAGATCTATATTTTAATTAGATTGCAGATCCATTTTAATACGTGCTGCTATCCTGTGGAAACACACATTTTTTACGGTTTTGGAGCTCATATAGGTTACATTTCTTATGTTCACTTCTATTGATTTCAAGTTTGAACCTGGACATAATTGGTCTGAAAAGACCTCGCTATAGATATACTCATCGTAGATACCAGGATTAAAATATTCTACGCCAGATGCGCGTTTCGTCTACAAAAGACTCATCAGCGACTTTTCGGTGAAAGAAAAATCATCCCTTTTGTCGTAGATTTTTGTGTAGAGTTTCTCGTGTAAAACTGAAATATCTAAATCTAGGAAAGGGCAGTTATTGCTGTAATAATTTGATTTATTTAAAGTAAGTTCCTTTGGGTAAATTTCGGCAGTATATTTAGAGAATTCTTGATTATTACACGACAAAATATCATTAAGATAACGGTAAGTGTCGTTGAATTTATAAATTAAATAAAATAAGACGGGTTTTTACTGAGTTTGGCCATAAACTGTGATTCATAACAGTACAGGAACAAGTCTGCTTTTCAAGGGGTACATTTAGTGCCAATAGGAATACCTACAACCTGTTCATAAACTTTATTGCCGAAACTTACATAAATGTTGTCATGGAGAAAATGTACAGATCAATCATCTCATCACACATTCAGTAAGTATATCTAGCATAATGAATTTGCTATCAGATTTTTCAAACAAACCACCATTTAATTAAATAGGGAAACTTTTTGTATGATAAGATTGTGTGGAAGTGTAGTATTAAGATTCGAACAGTGAAAACTGTCAACCAAATAAAAGGATCATCAAATGCGCGTAATTTATCTAAAACATCCATAAAAACTTTTTACATTCCAAAAATAGTTTATTCCACTATTTTCATGTTTAATTACAAAAATTATTGATACATTCTTTGATAGTAGTTAAGGAACTAGTTCTGTATATATACCAAGTTTATTTTATATTTGTTTAAACTTGTCTTATGTAATTCTGTGACACTAGAAATTTTCATTACCTGATTTGTATTTCTTTTGCATCATCGACAGACTCTGGAAGACATGTGTTTGTAGTGTCTGGTAAGGTAAGAGATAACAACCCAGCCATCAATCCAAAACTTCCTAATACGATCAATGGAAGTGCTACTCCAAATTTAGTCTGTATTATGTCACCCTTAATAAGATATGAAATGATGTATTTTTTTTCGTTCGATTCATTCATGTATGTTACTGCAGTTATTATAAACACACTTTTAATAATCAATAGTTTAAAACAGTGCATACCTTAAACGGTAAAAGTGTACAATGGGATCATACAACTATCCCCTACAAAAAGCCCCAACAACATAGCGCAAATAAAAAAAAAACTTCCGTCGAGGTTTTTTTTTCTGGATTTATCGTTGAACATCATAAAGTAGCATACAATTTTCCTCAAACGTGTACCTGAGGAGCACACTAATTCCCGCAAATTTGCAGATGTGATTACCGAAATGCATGATGATTAATAAGACACATATGCACTAATAACCTTCGATAGCCCATGAGGTAGCACATGTCTCATGTTAATATATGAATACGAAGAGATTATGGCTAAAACAATTTCAGACTAATATCTCGTAAAACAATATTAATCAGCTACAAGACATATCAAACATCTTTAATTTAGATTTTAGATAAAAGTATCTTGTCTTAGGGGAGGGATAAATCGTACTTTGTATGTAAACAATTCGCTGTTATTCCTATCGTGAGTTCCTTGATAGAGGGTTGCTACTCACAAGGAAGCTATTAAACCAAGAGTTCCAAGTTATGAAGTTGAGGTCATCCCTTCGTAAATTTTACGGACGCCATCACGAGTTGGTTGACCGTTATGGGGTATCCGTTTCACAGATGATAGCGGATATGTTCCAAATGTAACTACTATCCCGTCTCCTTTTCTCCGAATGTGACCTACCGAATTAGACTTATTACCGGGTTTGTACCAACATGAGCAACAAGACGGATGCCACGTGTGGAGCAGGATCTGCCTTCCCTTCACCTGAAATCACCTTCGGTTTTTGTTGAGGTTCGTGTTGCTCAGTCTTTAGTTTTCTATGTTGTGTTTTGTGTACTGTTTGTCTGGTTGTCTTTTTCCTTTTTGATCTTACCGTTGTCAGTTTATTTTCGACTTTATACGTTTGAATGTCCCTTTGGTATCTTTCGCCTCTCTTTTAAGTTATAACAATTGTAGATGTCGTGTTTCTATCTTATTGTTCAAGCTGTACTTTTTAATGTGTGTGCTATATATTTCAAGTTGTTGTATTGTTTTTCTATTGCCTAATTGTATGTTTTCCATTTAGATTTCCTGGTAAATAATATAGCAGCTCTTCTCCCATTTCAAGTAGTTCTTCTATGGAATACTACCAAACTGGTGAATTAAGTTAAGAATTAAATAAATTATTGATAAGTTAATACACCTACATCTACTTACAAGATTAAATTGTCAAACGCGTCGTGATCTTTTTTTAAAGATTCATACAATTTTAATAAAAAACGTACATGCAAAAAAAAAATTAATTTTAAAGTGCTTATTAATGTGGCATGTTAAACGGACATGACAGAAAACATAACTGTGAACATATGCGCACATAATTTAATTTTTTTGTAGAGTAGTAGTATTTAACATAATATGACGCGGGTTATCTTACCAGATCTAGAGAAGTAATATAATCCTCTACATAAATATATCATACGATTTTTAATAAAAAGAATAACATAGCAAATACCATTTCACTATAGATTTCACAAATCTGTTTAAAAGAGAGGAGTAAGATACCAAAAGGGACATTCAAACTCATAAGTCGAAAATACACTGACAACGCCATGTCTAAAAACAAAAAGAAAAAACAGACGAACAGACAAACAACAGTACATAAAACAAAACATAGAAAACTAAAGACTGAACCCCTCCATTTCAATTTATGTATTGGACAAATTATTTTAAAACATATTTAAACTATGTGAAATTGTACATTCATTAAAAAGGTAGCAAACATATTTGTAGTAAAACGGTAGCCATTAAGTTTGATCAACTGAATATCAAGAGCATTTATGTTCCTTTTTTTAGACATCATCTTACTTTGTTGTGGGAACTTCTGATTTACAGGATCTGTCCATCAAACTTACCAGTTCACCTACATATGCCGATGATATTGACCCAATACGACCAGTCATGCTTGCAACTCCAAGAACAGACGCCCGCAGAACAGTTGGGAATAACTCAGCAGTGAATATATAAATAACAAAAAATGTAATGGTACAAAAGAACTTTCCAACCATTGCAAGCGTCGTAGTTAACCATAGTAAAGCTGAAAAATTGAATGATGCGTGCATGGTATAAGTATAAAAGTTGAATGATACGTGCATGGTATACGTTTAAAGCTTCATTTTTATACGAAGTTTAAAGAGATTTTAAGCATTCGCTTTGTCTATGTTGACAGCTGTGTCTTCAATACATGCTAATCCTGTTATGTCCGCTATTAGACTATTATAAGGGTGGTAAAGGCTTAAAATGCTATGTGTTCGTTTAAAAGTTTGTTTAATGCATTTTCCCATAATTTATCGTAAGGCCAACATTTGTTTTCGTTTTTCTTTAAATATTTATAATTTTTCATATAAAATTTGATGTAAACTCAGTATTATGTTTGCACAGTGTTATATCTGACAAGTAAACTTACATTTGTCGGCATACAGAGATGTAAATATAGTACATATACACGTCACACCTCCCAAAATCATAGCACTACAGAAGAGTCCTTTACGACCAACTCTGTCCGTTACAATCCAACAGAAAATTACTGCAGAAAATTCAGCTGACGATGAAGCAGCAAAATTAACAAAAACATCTCCACTGAACTTTGCCACATTCATAGATATACCATAATATGTCATTGCGATTGCAAACCTGTGAAAGATTAATTTTTTTGATAGAGGCGTGCGTAGAAGTCACATAACTTATACATAAATTATACTTTCGGTAAGTATCGGACGTATAGCATGTATAGGGTGATGGAACATGCTAAACATTCAATTTGGGTTATCTGCCGTTAGCCAAAAAAAGCTTACCAAACATTACTAATGTATTTAATTTAAGTGGGACAGGTTATATACTTAAGTGTAATCAGGGACGTCTCTTAAATAAAATTATTGTTTTGACAAGCTCAGTATATATTTTGTTCCTTACTTCAACAAATAAATGCAAAAGTTTGTTAGGCTAAATAAATTATATATAAATATACTAAATAAATAAATGATTTGGAAAATACGTTAAAGGTATAAAAAGTCATGAGATTTCCGAATGCAATTCTCATTTTGGTTACGGATGTCTTTCTTATATTTTGGTCTTCCAACTGTAATTGCGCACCACTGATGAGTCTTGTGTTCTAGAAACAAACGTCTTGAGTATATAGCTAACTATAAGTCTGGTATTTTTGACGAGTTTAAATGTTTTAGATGAATTTAAACAAATTACCAAAACGACATATAGAGAGCATAAACCAGTCTTTATTAGGTATCACTAATATTATGAAAATCCTATTGTTAAGCGTGGCCGGAGAATTGCTATATTGCAACATACCTATATATTTTTAATAAATATCCTTACCAAACTCTTTAAAAACTACTTACCAATTAAGACATATTACTAACAATCTTCCAACAAGTTTTTTAGACTTCATCAGTGTTTTCACAAAATCAAGAAATGATGTTCTATGTATCTCCTTTACTACAACATTCTCCACAGATATGTCCAATATCTTTCCATTAAATATTGCCATCTTTTTTAAAATTGCTAGACCTTCTTTCGTCCTCCCACGACTTAATAACCATCTTGGTGATTCCGAAACAAAACTGTCAAAATAAATAATCAACAACATTAATACGCATTCTGAAAAGTATTAAAATAAAGTTTCAATTTTAAAAGTCCAGTTTAGGTTATAATATGTATATATATAACAAATTTGTAATCATTTTAAAGTGACTGGGTTTCCGCATTTGGTGCAGTAAAATTGTTCGCTTTTAACATCTGCAAATCTAAAACAAAATAGAGGCAAGACCAAAGTAATGAATATCAAATATCAGTGAAAAAGCAAACGCACACCATGAAAATAATGTAAAATAAGTTCAAGCAGAATTTTACTTATAATAAACTGTTGACACAGGGATACGTCTCGCCTGTCGACAGAAAATAAAAAAAAGACAATCTGATGGACAGCAACAATGCTAATTAATTCACAATTGCTGGACCATGTCATAGAGGGCAGCGCGTTAAAATGATCGTCAAACTGAGCTGTACTGTAGAAAAATCTATCGCCAAATAGAGTTGGTTTTCAGTGAGGTATGCTCTCAACTGAATAAACGACAAACGTAAGAAAACTTCAGGTATTTCGAGTAAAGTTTTAAAAAATGAGACCCGCCACCTCCTTATAAAGCAAAGGCAAAATCTATGATTTGCATCGGAAAACCGCAAAATGAATTCTGACAAAAAAAAGATTATTTATAGACGGTTAACATTTTGAGAAAATGTCGATCTAATACGGGGTTCAGGAACTGCGGATAAAAAAATAAGTACCACCAGAGTAAGCAATGCCAAGGGCAAAGATTTATGAAGGGAAACCTGGAAAAACAATTCGGATTGAAAAAACAAAATTGATGTGCACAATGGCATTATATGATGATATTCTGAGAAAGTGCATTCAATTCTGATTAGGGGTTAAGGAGGAGCGGATACAAAGTGTATTGTAGTGTGTGGATATGACAAAGTGCATGGCAATATAAAATATGGAGATGTGGTATGATTGCCAATATGACCACTATCCAATAGAGTCCAAATGACGTAGATTTAGGCAGTTATAGGTAACCGTACAGCCTTCAACAATGAACAAAACCTATATCATATAGTTACCACTTAATAACAGGCTTTTGACAAGGGACAGACACTTGCAGAATTTGGTGGAGTTAATGTATGGATAATTGAAAATTGTTAATTAGAAAGATTTGGACATTATTTTTCTGGTCCTTTTTAGTTGTATAGCTCTTCAACTGTTTCAGTTCTTATACCGGTATATCCTTGGCTTTCAACTAGTCGGCTTTGGTCGTTCCCGAGGAATATAAATCGAGAAAAACGCTTCAGACGCATGAAATTCATAAAGTGTTGTTTTCATTTTTTAAGTAAACTATAAAAATCATTAGGATGAAGAAATAAAATAGTAGATGAAAAAGGTAACAATGACCGTAGAAGAGAAGATATTATTATAATAAGGACTTTAAGCTCGTCAAAACAATACGAACAGACAAATTCTAAAGACAAAAAGAACTACTTGCCGTTACCAAAAGCTAGCTAAAAATCCAGCTATCCAAAATGATAGATAAATATTCTCCTCCCAGTAAAGGATAACAATAATTACATATTCTAACGGATTCAATTAGAAAAAACCCGTTTTCAGTCAAAAACGGATTAGCTTGAGTTTTGTCAAAATATGATAAGCAGCCTCATAAAATGAAACGGATTGTTTTTGATTTTGATATTTAACATTGTAAAAATGCAGTTTTGTACCGATGAAGACAAAATATTGTTACAAAAAAATATTGTTTGAATACGTTAATTGAAAGGACTGACACAAAATCTGTGTGGTTTATACATAAACCAAGAGGTTAACTTTATAGATGATAACGTTTAATGTTTAGGAATGAAACCAATAATTCAAAGTCCCATTGCTTTCTGTGTTAAATTCTGAAAGTTAAAGCATTCATATCTATTTTGTCTGAAGTTTATATAAAGTGGCAGCTATTTTATGTCAAAACTATCCCTTATCCTGACCTGCGCTGAAAAATGTTTTTGTACACTTAATTTTATAAATAGCGCACTGGTTTCTGGAAGTTTAGGAGTACAAAACAGGTACTCCTGATCTGATCTGCATGCTCCAACTTCATACATATTTATTATTATTTAAAAAAAAACTGTCAACCAGGGTTCTGCAGTAATACCAAATCCCTTTCATTTCATTTGATACCAAAATTACAAAACATTTAATTTACCACGATCACTAACAACAAGATAATTCTCGGCCGCATCATATCTCAGGGATGTCGCCCTTCTATGAGATTGTAGCTGAGAAACACCCACTCGTCTGAAAAACATCGATAACTTATATTCATATGTTGTATGGTTCGCTACTGACCCCCTACGGATCCATACAGGGTTAGAAGATTTCAAAGGGGTGAGGTCGAAAGCAAAAGCCTCACCCCTATAAATTTTACTAACCCTTTATGGATCCGTAGGGGGTCTGTAGTGAACCGTATAAAGAATTTTCTTGCCAAGTTTTGTATACAAATAAACAATGAATACAATAATATTGATAGATGATGTCACCATTAATAGTATTCTTGACTAATGAACCCCATATGCAATTTTTAATTGTCTGTTTATAAATTTTGAAATTAAAAGGAAGCCAAGGATTCAACTTTCTCAGGCAAAGTTGACCTTAGATGGATTTGGCTATTTTTTTATGTCCTTTTTGGTCATATAGCTCTTCAACTGTTCCGGTTCTTATACATCCTTGGCTTTCAAATATTCGGCTTTTTAAAAGCGTTCCTGGTGACGGTTAAACCAGAAAAGCACTTCGGACGCATGAAATTTATAACTTGTTTTCCTTTTTTACTGACCCCATACGGATCCATATGGGTTCACCACGCTACAGCGTTTAACCAATCATAACGTCAGTAATTTACCCGAGGTGCGATAAGTTAAATTAGCCATTTTGAGCAAAGTTTTGTAGTTTTGGTTTTCAAAGCTCTTAAACTTCGTAGTCGATTTAGCCTTCAAACTGATTTGAATGCCACTCATGAGTCTCATGTAGACGAAATGCGCGTAAGGTAGTACTCATTGAGAAGCCTAATTTCTTTCATGAGTTTTTTTTATCTTGATTTATTAATAAATATGGATAATAACAAAAACTGTCAGCCCTAAACCATCGCCAAGTCATAATCTACTTTTCTTTCTATTAGTCCGAAAATGTCCTTGATCAACTGCATGCCCTTTAATGACAATTACATTTGTTTTGGCAATAAACTATATACAACAATAATGATCAACAGGACCATATCTAAAAATTCGTCAGATGACAGAAATTGTCAACTGACTCCATATCTATACTATTAAATGAGAAGACCTCATTTTGTGTGTCGCTTCTCTTCCTTCCACAATAAATTAATCATCATCTATACTATTAAATGATAACACCTCATTTTGTGTGTCGCTTCTCTTTCTTCCACAATAGATTAATCATCATGCTTCTGTGTCCTATAGTTACCATGCATAGTCGCATTTGTCATCCTCGACTATTCCGTTTAGGTTATTTTGAAATAGCGTTTATAATGGACCATATTAAATTATTTCAGTTGGAATTAAATAAAAGAAAGGTTATTAAAGTTTAAATATAGATTTACATTTCATTTCAAATTTGTTTCAGAATTTTAGAAATAACGAAATAATTGTCACCAGAATTCCGTCATGCATGTAATGCACTTCAAACTTTATAAGTGGTTTAGTGAAACAGACGGGAAATTTTGAGGATCAGTTTATAAGACACTGTTTTAAAGAAACAGGCGGGAAAATTTGAGGATCAGTATATAAGACACTGTTTAAGTGAAACAGACGGGGAAATTTGAGGATCAGAATATAAGACACTGTTTAAGTGAAACAGACGGTGAACAATTCAAAATGTTATATTGACATCAGTTCATGTTTAAGATACTTCTAATGCCTTTCCTTAAATTCTCCAGTCATAAAATCTTTTACAAAACTTCATCATACAATAGTTTACATTCTTTCAACCATGCTCTAAATGCCCGCGATTTCGAAAGTGTGTTATAGTCACTTTATAAATGTCGTGCGTCCGAAGCGCTTTTCTTGATTTACCTTCATCACGAACGCTCAAACCCAAAGATTTGAAAGCCAAGAATATATAAATACGTAGAAACCGTGAGAGCTTTATGACTTAAAGGGACCTAAATAAAGAATAGCCTAAGAGACTTTGGCCTTTAACGACTTTATTTAACCCGTTTGTTTTATTTTTCACGTTTACACTGCAACACATTACGGATAGGGAGAAACTGTATACGGCTAATATGATCGGAAAAACAAGATCATGCATGATAATCAAGTCGCATAAATCGTCAATTTATGGGTTTTTTAACATGCTTATTTAAATCTCGGCATAAATATACTGTTTGAAAAAGATTACTTTCAATGTTGTCAATAGTTTAACATTGCATATTACTGCCAGGTGAGCGGCTCAGGCGTCTATAGTCTTCATGTCTCTAGTTTTGTGACTTTTGCGTTATGTATTTGTCAGTAGAAGTAAGGTAATTCTTGATAAACTTGTCTTTTGCATCGAAACAGATATCATATGTTTGTATTATTATCAGTAAGGATCATGCTTAACAGACATACTCTTTATATTTACTGTGCTAATGAATCATCAGTCAAAATTGTTTTAATAAAAATTAGTTGATGATGAAAAGAAATTTCAATTTTACTTACAACATAACTATCATGTATGTAGCTACAAATATAGTTATCACCCAAAATAAAACAGACCAGTCCCTCAAGTAATATGCTAGCAACAGTAGAATATAGTTTCCTGTACAGAATATTACGTATACAGCAAAATTGGCAAGAATTCTTTGCTTAGGTCCAACCATTTCAGTAACTACAAGAAAAACAAAATTAGTTTTCAATACTGTAACCAATTGACTTATGTAATTTTGCATGAGT